ATTATTCGGTCCATGATGCATTTCAATAATTAATACTGATGATTATTTGCAATTATTTGGAATTATTAAGTGAAAATTTTTAATTTTTAAAAAAAAAAGTTCTTGTTTAAATTCTGAATGATTTAATAAAAATGATAAAATTTTGCGATCATCCTTAAAACATTGTTAATTAAACAATAATTTATAATTTCATTTATTTGGAGCAGAGACCAAATGAAGTAATAAAAATCCATATTGTGAAAGTTATACATGTATATATATACCATATAAATATTCAAATGCCAAACTGCTAATATTATTATAGAAAATTAACAATATTAACAAATCTATTGCCAAACAATTTGTACAACATACATTATTTTATAAATTTTCATACTTTTATTTTTTTTTTTTTTTTTTTTTTTTTTCATTTTCCAATGAAATTCATTTTTGTGATACATGACTTAAATAATAATTCCAAGCATTAGAGGTAAAGGAAGAAGGGAAAAAGAAATAAACCTATACAATTTTTATTGGAAGTATTACATTCAACCAGCACAGACGAAGAGCTGAATATACTCACATGGTGCATACACACCAATACACACTTACATGAGAAACACATGATACACAGGAACATATAGACATATATATTATATGAGAATTAAGAAAAGAAAAAAAAAAAAAAGATTAATAAGAAACGTTGTATAATGTTTTATCGTCGCTAAGAATTAAAAATCGACGTAGTTTCGCGAATTATTAGCGTGTAATTAAAAGATTAAAAGAGGAACCGTATAAATATTTGTCGAGCCACTTCTCGTCCTGGAATAATTAATTAATTAACTCGATTCGATCAAGTAAATACTTATTCAAGTATTACGAAATCTGTTTACAATAATGGTTTTAATTCTTAAACATCGACAAATGTATATTTCCAAATGTGTTTCATTTTTTTTTTTTTGGAAAATGGATTTTATTGAAAAATCTTCGAAAATAAAATTTTAATATAATCCGCACGAATAAATTATAAACGGCAATATTAGAATATTGTGAAAAATTCTTTTCCTTCGAACAATTTTCAAACCAAATGTTAAGAATATATCAAAAACATTTTAAATGTATGCAGAATACAATTAAAAAATAATATTCTCAAAGAAACTTCGATGATCGATCGGGGGCATCGTGAGAAGGACGAAAAGTGGCTTAGTGTGAATTCTTTTGTTAACGTTTCAAGAGAATACCGCCCACGTTACTAAAAAAAAAAAGAAAAACAGTGAGAAAGAGAGGGAGAGAGAGATAGAGAGAGAAAGAGAGGGAGAGAGAGAGAGAGAGAGAGAGAGAGG